CGGTCTCTTTACACGAGTGATGCTGAGGCGCCACCTAGTGGTGAAAGACTAAGCTACAGCTGCACAGGACGGAAGACTCCATCTGAGTCTTTGGACTGAGGGACAGTGGTGGAGCTTTTCAAAATCTCTCTGAGCGAAGCCACGGATCAGTGAATGGAGACATGATTCTCAGATGAACCCTAAATGCTGAGAAACCCTGGTTCTGTCTGGATTTCAGGGTTTCTCACTTCTCACTGGATCACCGGCATCAAACACGCAGAGATCCACATCAACCACTAAGATGTTCACATGAACTCCAGGAGACGAGGTGTCCTGCTCTCAGAGGTCCATCCTCTCAAACCTCACCGTGCTCACGTCAACGTAGAAACTGAGCCGCAAAACTTTCAAAACTGTGGAAATTCTTCACCATCAGTGAAACAGAAGCAGAACTTCAGACAAGAGATCAAGTTCAAACGCTCACGTCACGTCTGTAAATCAGTTCAGGTGAAAATAAACAATACAGACGAAACTCAAGAATTAAAAAATAAACTTATGAAGCGTTTTTCTATTCTCCACAGACACACGACCATTAAACCAACACCTCCATGAACCCACACAAACACGGGGACGTGTAAACTCCACACAGACAGACACTGGCCGAACCAGGATTCAAACCTTCTTGCTGTGAGGCAACAGGGCTAAACCCTCTCTACCACCGTGCCACGCAAAACAACTCACAGTATCCCGCTGTCGCCACATCGGACGTTGCTGTTGGAGGAGTTGTGTTGACTTCTTCTTCTCTGGACATGTCGCCGCTCTTTTAGAATAATTAGAAAAACTCTTCAGCTCAAGCTGAGACAAACTCGCCTCCTCTCGTTAAATCTAAATCTGATCTTTCATCCTTTCTACCAAATCTGATTCTCCAGTCTGAGCTGAGTTTTCCTGCGTGAGCCGTCAATCAACGTGTCTTTCCTGCCTCTCGCCCGGTCGAGGCGGACGTTCCCTTCCTGAAATACCAACGAGACACAACAACATGGAGGACGGTGGAGAAAGCGGCCCCTCGTTCACGGTGGTGTCGGAGAAAAAAGGAGCTGCTGAAATGTTTTCAGCAACAAGAGAATGGGGACGATGTGTTTTGATCATAACACTTTCATCAGCCTCTCTGCGGCCGGAGACCGTTTCATTTCTCTTTTTTGTTTTGACTTGATCTCAAACTCAAAAAGCTCCAATTTATTATCATAAAAGATTGAATTAACTTTGCTGATTCACTTCAGATTCACAGACGTCCTACTACTTATCTGGACTTTCTCTTGAGCTGTGAGGTCGATGAGAGCGAAGGACACACTCCAGGAGGCGGTGGAGACCAAGAACAGAGACAAAAGAGACAGACTATTAAATCTGTTGGACACAAACAGCTCTCCACGGGTTTGCAGGAGACAATTGTCTCATAATAAGACGTCGACACCCATTGTAATTTAAAACCCACCAAATTAAAAATCTCCCCCTGAGACGTCATTAAGTGAGTCCCTCAGACGTTTGGAGCAACGTGACGGAGATGAGTCAGTTTCCCGTCAGGCAGCGTGAAAGACATCAGAGCTCCGTGAACGAGCCTCGGAGCTCAGATAAACAAGGAGCAAATGTGGTTTTTTCAATTTCCTGATGCAGCAACTCATATGCACACACACACACACACACACACCAGCATTAAATATTACCCATGAGGCCTCAGTCGGCCTATCAGCCGGCAGCCTGCGCCCACAGCGGGGAGGAGGGAGCGATGAATTAGACATGGAACCAGTCTGTAACTAGGCCACAAGAGCCGCCACGGCTGCTTCTGTTTAATGGAGCACACGGAGGAGATGCACACACGGAGGTTACGTCCACATGAGGCATAAAGTACTAAAGAATACTATATATACTGTGAAGTAATAGTATTTACCTCGACTGAAGAGTTTTCTAAAGACACAACGTTTATCTGAGCGTGGTGCGTTCCAACACTTACACACGATAAATCCCTGAATCACAATGTGAAACTGAAACAGATCAAATGAAACAAAAACATGAAGCTTCAGACGCCCTGACTTTTTTATTTCTTTAACTTTCCTGCTCCGACACGACGACCTGCCGCCTTTTGGCCTTTAGGCCTTTAGGCGTGTTTGTCTTCGCTGATGAGTCTGTTGACTCGTCACCTTCACGTGATGGTTGACAAGAGCAGCGTTCAGCGCGCCGCAGTCAAATCTGTCCCCCGAGAACAAAACGTCCCGGAGAGGAAAGTAAATAAATACGTCGAGCGTCAACTTCAGAGGTTGTTTTTGTTAAAGAATCTCTCCGGGGATTAGAAGTGGGTCATTCGGTTAAAGAGATGGTTCAGAGACACAAGTTCTAACGACAGAAGTTTGTCATGATTCTGAAGTCGTCTGAAACTTTTATATTAAATTAAATTCTTTGCTCAGTTGGGATCAAATCACACAATGGTCTTCGCCCACTGAAGCTCTTGTCCCCCGGGACTCGTCCTCGTACGTCACTCGTTAAAACTATTGTTATGTGTTCGGATATTTAAACCTGTTGACACTATGAGAGAATCACTGGTGTCGTATTTTAACGTTTAATGTGCAAAGTAAAAGTAACGTTAATATTTTCACTCAAAAACTCTCATGACTCAATATTTACTTTGGACATTGATTATTATTTTTTCATCTGTTCTCTAATGTTCTTCAATTATGGTCCGACACGTTCTCGCCAACAGGAAATGTCTTCGGGTGGATGTGAATGATGCTGCTCAGTTTCACCCGATGTAAACCAGGACTTTCGAATTCCGTCTTTGTTTGGAGTTTTTGTTCAAATTCTCTTTTTGAGGCTTTTAAAGATTTTAACCCTGATAACTGTCGACGCTCGTTCCTGCTTCAGATCGTCGATGTGTCACTGACCAGTCAATTACTCTGACATGTGGCAGAGAAAATATATTAAAATATAATTAAATTATATTAGAAACCAACTCAGAATATGAAAAGTACTAACGTGAGTATACAGTCAGGGCCTGCAGCAGGGTTACACGAGTATTATCACTTCTGAATAATGATTAAAACATTTAAAGATGCATAAATTACTGTGATGAAGTGAAAAACCAGCTCTGGAGGTGGTGGAGGTTTGTACTTCACTATTATTCAAGAGTATTCACAGTGTGTACTTTAATGTGACACCAGAAGAATCTCAAAACTCTCTCACTCTGTAAAGAGTCATGGATCTGCTGCTGCACCACTGAGAATATGAAATAATAATAATAATAATAATAATACAGATGTTGAACAGTTGGTCGATAAACGGTCCAGATGCGTCGCAGCAGTTTTTTTTAAATGTCTCAGATGAATGAAAGGAGGAAGACGATGATCTGGATCTTCATCAGAAGGAGAATCTGATCTAACGTTAATGTTTTAATGGTGTTAACATGAATAACTTGGTGTTGGTGGCAGCTGAGGTGCAGAAGGAATGAACGGTGAAGTGCAGCTCGGATCAGAAAGTGTTGTTGTGGTGCAGGAGATGTAAAAATAGACTGAGCAGGATCAGCTGATCCTGGAGCAGCTTCACCATGTCCCTGACACGAGAGACGTTCAACAGCAGGAGGACATGATGGAAGACAGGAGAACATCAGGTGATGAAGAGGAGGAGGAGGAGGAGGAAGAGGAGGATGAAGAGGCCTCCTCGTCCTGCTTCTTACAGGAGGAGACGGGGCATCGAACCTGTCACAACCGTGAACCCACCGCGAGGAGCGGGACACTCGTGCCGGTGCGGGTACTTACTGTCCGGGGCCATGGCTCCGGCTCCTCGTCACAGCGGCTCCGGGAGTGAGATGCGCGGCACTGAGGCAGCAGCGTGCCGCCGCTCCGGGACCACAGCCGCAGAACCGAGAGCCAGGACGCCTTCACGGACCGTGGGACAACATCCACACTCTGAGCGCCGCAACACACGCGCTCTCCCTATGAGAGGATTTAAAAATTTAAAAATTTAAAAATTTAAAACCTCGCTTCGTGATTTCAGGTTCCACAGCTCGAGACCCGAGAAATGTTCAAACAACGTGGACTCACCGAGACTTTCACCGGATCCACCGTCTGTCCGGTTTAATAACACAGTCACGTGCTGCAGGGAGTCGGTGGCTCACGTGACACGGAAGCTGTTGAAGAACGAGATATTTAAATAAAACTAAAAAAAAATTCATGGGAAATAAAATAAACGCAATAAAAAGATGTGCTGTGTTTATGGAGGGCGATGATGTCATTATCACTGTGGGTCACGTGATGTGGAAGCTACTGATGATATGTAGTGTTTTTAAAAATAATAAGAATATATTAAATATAAAAAGCATGAAAATCTAGTAAAGAGACCAAGTGTCCTGTTTATCCAGAGTAAGAATAAAACCAGTGGTTTAGAGTCTGTGGGTCACGTGATGTGGAAGCTGTGTTCACAATTATCATTCAAATAAAATAAGAAAATAAAATCTTCTTAAGTCAGAAGTTTCCTTTGCAAACTCTTAGTTTGACACGATGCTAATAAACAATATTTAAACAAAGAATATTCAGATTAAATATCTAAAGCACTAAAATTCACCGGCTGCAGGACAGGTCATAAAATCTGCCTCCTCCATGTTAGCAGAGGAGACGTGAACAAAGCACACATGGGTTCTTATGTCCATGTGTCTGATCAGTTTGGTTTTGTGTAGTTATTTGATATAAAAACTGTTTTAAATTAATTAAATACACAAAGAAACACAGAAAAAGTTCAGTGTGAAACACGTGAATGAGACAGAACGTTTATGAAACGTTCAGGTGCACAGGCTTGTGTCAGATTTATCAGTCGTTTCCAAGAAACTACATTTTCGGTGTAAACCTCTCACATGGTTTCATTTTAAAATAAACAAAACTCTAAATATTTCCATCAAACTGAATCATCATAACTTCTGGACCTGGCGTCCACATACTTTTGGCCATTTGGTGAGTAGAACATCCAGTGAAGTCAGAGACGAAAACAACTGTTAAAAATAGTTTTTATACAAAACACTGAAATGTAATAAAACCTTTTTTTTTTACACCAGAAATAAAACTAAGCTGAAGATGAACAATGTATTTCCACTCAAACGGAACATTTATATTTTCTTCACATTCTCCAACAAACATGAGCAGGTTTTTGTTTTTGCCATTAAAAGCTTAAAACACATTAAAAATAAAATACTTTAAAACATAAAAACGTTTTCAAGTATGTTCTTCAATAAATAAAATCTCTCTTCGTCGCCTCCGGTCGAGACAAAGGTTGGTTCCCGTGTCGGCTTCATTTCCAGGTGAATTTTTTATACTGTTTTTGTTTTTCTGAAAAAAAGACGAAAGAGAAAAATAAGTTGTCTTTTTTTATATAAAACTTTATTTTGTGGTGTTCAGAGACAAGTTGGTCGATTTTAGTTTGTTTCACTGTAAATGAGATTATATGAATATTATAAAATCACATTATAATTATTATAATGAGTGAGTTTTGAACAGACGACACAGAAACATGATGGTTTTAAATAACGGCTGTTTACCTGCAGTGACTGAGTCCAGACCGGTGAGACGACTGATCATGGTGGTCGACGAGGCGTCTTTCAACAGGTCACCTGACAAGAAGTTCAGACCTCACGTTAAAAAGAAGAAAACTCCCTCAGTCCATTCGAGAACTTTCCTCAACTTCAGGAAAACACGCAGACGTTTCATCTTCAGGTGTTTAATCACTTTGTTTTAATTAAAGCCTGAAGTGTCGTGTGGAACTGGGACGAACGTTCTGTTCAATAAAACTCGACGTGATTGTGGGTGAAGAAATATTTTTATTTTTAGCTTTATTTAAAAAAAGAAACTTTAGATTAATGTCATGTTTGACAGTTTAATGTGCAGTTACTTATTAATGTAAAAAGATTCATATAAACGAGTTGGACACAAAACAAATGTGTGTTTGTAATGTGCAGCAATGATTCATGTCGAACATAAAAGTCATGAAGAATAAATAAATTCATGTTAAAAATAATATAGTGTTTGTGTTTACACAGTCACATTGTGGGGACGGGTCCTTGAATGAGTCCCCACAGCGTGAATCTGTGAGCGGGGACGAGTTTTCAAGGTTTTTCAAAGTTTGAGTTCAGAGTAAACTAATGTAAATGAAAGTGGGAGGAGTTTACCTGAAATGTGGATGTTCTCATTGGTTCTGGCTTTGAGTGACGGTTTCGTATTCCTGGAGTGACTCTGTGCGTTGGAGGGTCCGGCCTCGCTGCTCGTCGGATCCACCTCCACCTGCCGGTGACGACGGGACTTGGACGCCTGAGAGCACAAACACAACATCGTGCACATTTGAATTAAAGGAAATCGTCACCAATGGTTTTTCCGATTTTACAGAAAACATGAATAAAAGAATCGAAAGCAAACCTCGGCTGCTTGTCCGTACGCTTTTGATTTGATGGAGGCGAGGAGGCCGGCTCTGTTAGAACACTGCGACACACAACAGGAAGTCAGACAACAGCGCCTCTCTCTGGTTGTGGTTATTATCGCAACTTTTAAAAAAGGCCGAAGAATGTGAGAATTATAATTTCCTGTGAGTTTATCTGATCCAGTTCTATTAACGCTGATTATAAATCGTATAAAGTAAATTTAGAGTTTAAAGTCGTGTAAGTCACCTCCTGCTGAGACGAAGTTCCCTCGCCACAGTCTTCATCTTCATCTGTTCCATCCTGACACCACAAGAAAACATCATCAACAGTGGAAAAGAGAAACGTGTTCTCTGCAGGTTCACGGGAACAAAGACATAGATTCATCAAAGAAGAAAAATTCATTTGTGATGATGAGCTGAACGATTCGTGACTTTCTATTGATTCCAGACTTTTATGACACTGACATCTACGGAGGCCTCAAAGAGTCCTGATGAAACTTTTATATTCTTGCTGCTTTTTAACGGTTTCTCTTTACACGCTCCTTTATTTTCACACTTATATTTATACATATATATATATATACATATACACATATGTATATCTTCTCGACTGGAGAGAGAAGCCTCCTCCCGTTTCATTGTACGTGATTATAAAGACAAGAAAGATCTTTGAACCTGACCTGATGTAAATATAAGCTGCAGTGACTTTGTGTGACTCTGTTCCCGACACATATGGTTTTTGCTTCTTTGCCCAAATTACACATTTAAAGTGTGGGAAAAAAAAAAGCAGTTTAATTTGCGGAGAAGCCTGAAGAGATTCTCACCTTCCTCTGCTGCCACTTGTGGAAATCCACGACGGCGCTGCGCAGCTGAGGGACGAAGCTTTTGTGGATCAGGTTGACGGACAAATCTGACGGCAGAGAGATGGACGTCTTCATCTTCTCATAGATCTCGTGGATGTTCGACAACTCCTGCAGAGGAACACAACGATTTTTCAGTTCGCCCGTTTGTCCGAGTTGAATCCAGAATCGACCGTCTCTCTGCTCTTACCTCCAACAGGTCGCCGTTGATCAGCTCCTGCGGACGACACGCTCGCTCGATGAACTCCTCGCACAGGGCCGACTTCCGCATCTTCCTCTTCTTCTTGAAGGTGAGCTGCGACGAGAGGAAGAGGAGGAACGAGGGGATGAAGACAGAGGAAGGAGAGAAAACAAACAAGCACGCTGGGAGAAAGGCAGCCAGCTCACCAGCGTGGGCATGGCGGTGAAGTGGAACGCTTTGAGGGACATCAGACGCCTGAGGATGTAGACGGCGTCGAGGTGCTGAGCGTCCCTGGCGTCTTTCTCAAACTTCATCACCTCGTCCCAGTCCTTCAGCGCCACACGGATCTGCAGCCAGGACAAGAATCTATCGTTCACTTTGTTTCAGGTGAGACTCGATCCATTCAAGGTTCCTGTGGGTGGTGGGAGGTCCTGACCTGCTCCGGGGGCGAGGCGGTCTGACACTGATACAAACTGTACAGCAGGTAAAGTCCTCCGGCTCGGATCTGGAAGCTGAACGGCGGCAGGAAGTAGCTGTAGGCGAGATCCAGAACCAGGCGGCTGAACGCTCGCTTCTCGTGTCTCACGGTGCCGCTGCAACACAAGAAGACAGACGTGTTCTGCTCAACCCTGATTACACCACAGGGAAGTTTACGGAGAAAACTTTAACGTTCTGCATTGAGTTTATTTTTGTTTGCAAAGAAAAGTTAATATAATTCATAATTAAAGTTCAGTTTGTTAAGAACTGCAGCTTTTCTTTTGTTTTATTGTTCTTATATTTATCTTCACATGTTTGATTGTTTAGGCTGATGATCATTCTTGAATATTTGAAGACGTCAGCTTGTGTCTGATATTTAAAAATAATTCATCAAATAATCATAGAATGAATTTTATAGATTAGATATTTGAAACTTCTCAACAACTGAAAACTTAGTTGTGATGTTTTGTGTTAAACTTACTAGAAAATGTGTGTGAAGTTCAGTTCCCTCCAGATTTGGGAGAAAACCTGGAATCGAACAGACTCAGTTTTCTGGAAGCGGCCGAGCAGCAGCTCACAATCCGACTTCAGCTGCTTCCTGCACG